TACACACACACACACACACCAGGTACCTCTACACACAGACACACCAGGTACCTCTACACACACACACACACCAGGTACCTCTACACACACACACACACCAGGTACCTCTACACACACACACACCAGGTACCTCTACACACACACACACACCAGGTACAACAACCGCCATTCGCCACTAAGTGGCGGTGACGTCACCATGACGCTTGTGCCAGGCCAAGTGCACCTTGAGGCCACGTGAAGTGTCGAACGCCCGCTGGCAGGTCACGGGGCAGACCCAGCAGGTGCCACGGGTCGACTGACTGAGATGACTGAGATGACTGGCTGATGCACCACCTGTGCTCCCTACTGTGCCAACCTGCTATGCTTTAGCCACCCGGCGCTCCGTTCGTTGTTGTGAGCGTCGCTCCTCCGCCCTCCGTTGTTGTTGGAGGGCGACTGCCTCCAACTGCCCAGTAGCGTCCTTCACGAGCCTCCTCCACAGAGGCCGATCTTGACACCGCTGGTACCAGTCATCGGCACGTCTACTCAGCTCCACATCCTCCTGTACCACGTCACTCCATCTCTTCTCTAGCCCATGCCGCACGCGTTTAACCCCCACAATCCGGCCAAACAAAAGCTGTTTGGGCATGCGGTGATTGGGCATGCGGGCTACATGGCACCGCCAACACAGCCTTGCCTGCCGGAGGTGTTCACCGATGGGACTTTTTCCAGATCTTTCGAGGATTTGTGAGCTCCCCACACAATCCAGCCTGGTTAAACCCAGGATTGATCATAGGCAGGCCAGCCTAAATGTTTCTAACCGGCGAAGATGTTCCATTAGGGGGGGTCCACGTTTCGCATGCGTAGAGAAGGGAGGGAATGACCGTGGCCGAGAAGACCTGAAGCTTCGTGCGGAGCGACAGACCAGGTAGCTTCCGCACAACATTACGCAACCGACAAAAATATAATGCCGCTCGACTGATTCAGAGTGAGACCTCTGCTGTTAAACCGGAGCCGGTCATGAGCACACTGCCCAGGTATGGGAACCTCTCCACTCTCTTCACAACTGCCCCATCACCGATTGGGAGTTGTGGGGGTGGAGTGCCCGATGTTACAAAATACCCAAGCAGGTGCTTCGTTTTGGTGGGGCTGATGGTAAGGCCCCACCTCTTAATGGCACACTCCCCTGAGTGAGCCGCAATTACCAGGTCGTTGGCATACATAACGAGGTTGACCAATAGGGAGCTATCCCTTGACCACACCCGGACATCGATCAGACTCCCATTGTATCTGTACCAGATGGAAATTCCTCCGGTACAGCGATTGGAGGCTTCACGAACTACGTGGTCAAAATAGATGTTAAATAATGTGGGAGCCAGAGGACATCCCTGTCGCACCCCAAGGTGTACAGGGAATGGCTCTGACTCCCGGCCACGTAGTTTTACCCGGGCCTGCTCACCATCATGAAGGTCCTTAATGAGTGTGAGCAGAGGGTCAGGGACTCCGAAAGCACGAAGAACAACCCAGAGCTCAGGCCTACTGATGGTATCATAGGCCTTGACCAGGTCAATGAAGCAGAGATGTAGGCCTTGTAGGAATTCCCTACACCTCTGCTGTAGCAGACAGAGAGAAAATTTGGCATCTGTACAGACCGCCCTTTCCTGAAACCGCATTGGGGCTCCGCAAGCCTCTCCTCAGCGTTCCTGGCAAGATGATGTTGAAACATCCTTGCCAGGACCTTTCCCGACACACTGAGATTTAAGATGCCCCTGTAGTTGTTACAGTCTGTGCGGTCCCCCTTCTTAAAGAGGGGGACGACCAGGGCATCCTTCCAATCCTGCGGAACCCATCCTTGCAGCGCCTCACGGTTCTCCGAACCTCCGAGCGAAGGCTGCGGTAAGCCTCTTCATTCTCTGACGTGGGATGCTGTAGACGATGAGAGTGGGCCTGTCGCTTTTTCTCAACCATCCTGAACACCCCCTCTGTCAGCCAGGGTCTCTGAGGACGTCTGGACTGCGTACCCAAAGCAGCCATTGCAGCTGCATGAGTAACAGTCTTAAACCTCGCCCATTTACCCTCGACATCAGGGGGAGTGAGGGACGATGCCAACCCCAGCCGCAAGCGATGATGAAATTCTCACTTGCAGCTTTCATCTGCGAACTGACACCAGGCCACCATAGGTTGGAATGGGGTCCTGGGTGTACACCACCGGAGTGGAAGAATGGCAGGCGCATCTTACAGATGACTAGTCGATGGTCAGAGGGCAGATCAGCTCCACGGTAGGTCCTGGTGTAAAGAACAATGGCTGGCATCCTCAGTTCCGTCACTATGTAGTCGAGCAGATGTTCTTGCTTGGACCCAGCATGCATCCATGTTGTGGTGTGGATGCGCATATGCCGGAACAGCGTTTTGGTAATTACAAGCCCATGGGCTACACATACACACCAAGAACCCCTTCACACACTCACACACACCAGGAACCCCTACACACACACACCAGGTACCCCTACACACACACACCGTGTGATGAGTGGTGTTGTAGGTGTGTGTAGGGGTGGCTGTGTGTGTGTGTAGTAGTTGCTGTGTGTGTGTGTAGTAGTTGCTGTGTGTGTGTAGGGGTTCCTGTGTGTGTGTGTAGTGGTTGATGTGTGTGTGTGTAGGGGTTGCTGTGTGTGTGTGTGTAGTGGTTGCTGTGTGTGTGTGTAGTGGTTGCTGTGTGTGTGTAGTAGTTGCGGTGTATGTGTGTAGTGGTTGCTGTGTGTGTGTGTAGTGGTTGCTGTGTGTGTGTGTGTAGTGGTTGCTGTGTGTGTGTAGTAGTTGCTGTGTGTGTGTGTGGAGTAGTTGCTGTGTGTGTGTGTAGTGGTTGCTGTGTGTGTGTGTAGTAGTTGCTGTGTGTGTGTGTAGTGGTTGCTGTGTGTGTGTGTAGTGGTTGCTGTGTGTGTGTGTAGTGGTTGCTGTGTGTGTGTAGGGGTTGCTGTGTGTGTGTGTAGGGGTTGCTGTGTGTGTGTGTGTAGTGGTTGCTGTGTGTGTGTGTAGTAGTTGCTGTGTGTGTGTGTAGTGGTTGCTGTGTGTGTGTAGTAGTTGCTGTGTGTGTGTGTAAGGCGCGCCACTTCGTTACTGTGGACTGCGGCTGTGGCCTACCAGCTATGGTTTGAAATAGCAGGGAAGGTGGATCTCTTCAGCCTTGGAAGGCCGTCTACCTAGGAGAAGGAAACTCTGATGTAAAACCTACGGCCCGAGGACCTCGCTGTCACCGTCCCAGCTTGCTAGGCCATGGCAGACGAACCCCGGGTTTAAAGGGTGGGGTCAGTTCTGCGCACACTGCACTCCACTTGAAAGCTCCTTTGCGCAGGCAAGAAGGAAATCTTCACGTCTACCCCCCCCCCCCCGGTCTCACTAAGTCCTGTAGCGATGGGAAAGGGGCGAACTCGGCAGGTGTAAGATGACACTGGCAGCCGCAGTCTCAATCCTGCATGCAGGCGGCTCAGGCGCAAGTGGTCGTCTGATGATGACCTGGAAACGACATCATCACCCGGCAGCACCCTGAGCGACCAAGCAGCCTTTTCTAGGGACAGCACTGCTTGCTCCACACGGAGAGGGGCCTAGAAAAGGTGGCCTAAACAAAGCTCGTCTCCTCCTCCCTCAGTTGGCTTACCGCGGTCAACGGGCATCTTCATATGCGGTCGAATTACATCAAAGAATCGACGGCGCATCCCACTCGCCTTAAAAGGTGGGAAAGGACTCAAACTCGCATGCTGGAACATCAGAACCATGCTAGACTCAGCTGACAGCACTCGACCTGAGTGACGATCTGCTCTAATTGCACACGAACTCGCTCTGCTGGATGTTGACATCGCCGCCCTCAGCGAAATCCGCTTTTCAGAGGAAGGCAGTCTGAGGGAGCATGGCGCAGGCTACACTCTCTACTGGTCAGGTAAACCAGCGACAGAGAGACGCCGTTCAGGTGTCGGCTTCATGATCAGGGACTCTATCGCTACCAAGCTTGCAAGCCTGCCAACTGGTCACTCTGACCGCATCATCTCAATGCGTCTACCACTTCGTGACCAACAACACGCAACGCTGCTCAGTGTGTATGTGTAGTGGTGGTATTGACGTGCGCCGGCAGTGAGGGATCACGGGGCGCGGGGTTGGGAACGCAGTGTGGGCGTGGCATGGACGCGCGCGCCGGTGGTGAGGCGCGCTCACACAAGCTGGGAAGAGAGGATCGTAGCGAGTGCGCAGTGATTGGTCAGATAAGTGGGTACTCTCAGCGACGTCCGCAGGAGGGGTATAAAGGGGGACGCGCGAGAGCACTCGTGGTCAGTGTTAACCAGTTGAAGACCGAAGACGGGGTGGAGGAGATAGGGGCCCTGTGTGGCTCGGAGCCGAGACTGGGGGGACCGTAGTCCGACGCCCGTGTGGGTCGGGACGGTGGTACCCAGAGCCGAGACGGGCACCCCGGCTGGGTGTGTCCCGGACGGCAACGGGGCGTAAGAGCCCGTGTCAGTACAGCTGAGTGGGTGTTAGTCGCCCGTGTAGCTGAGTGGGTGTTAGTCACCCGTGTAGCTGAGTGGGTGTTAGTCACCCGTGTAGCTGAGTGGGTGTTAGTCACCCGTGTAGCTGAGTGGGTGTTAGTCACCCGTGTAGCTGAGTGGGTGTTAGTCACCCGAGTAGCTGAGTGGGTGTGGGTCACCCGTGTAGCTGAGTGGGTGTGGGTCACCCGTGTAGCTAAGTGGGTGTTGGTCACCCGTGTAACGAAGTCGTAGCTGAGTGGGTGTCCGTCACCCGTGTAGCTAAGTGGGTGTTGGTCACCCGTGTAACGAAGTCGTAGCTGAGTGGGTGTCCGTCACCCGTGTAGCTAAGTGGGTGTTGGTCACCCGTGTAACGAAGTAGGGTGTTAGTCATCCGTGTAACTACAAGTTGGTGAAAATAAAGAGTGTGCTACCCGTGAAGTCGTCTCCTGCCGAGTTACTACTTTACAACTGGCGTCAGAAGTAAACCTGTCTTCAAGGAGAAATGGACACAAGGAAGACTTCTCGTTCCCACGTGCAAGACCGGGGAGACGACGACGTACCGGTGACACCACCCTCGGGAGGAGAGGACGAGGAGTTGCCGCCGATGCAGCACTTCGCGGAAATGGCCGATGCTCCGCCCGCCTCCGACACCAGCCTGCAGGACGCACATTCCCGCCTGGCGGAGTTGCTGCTCGCCGCCGCTGCAATCTTGGCGGAGATCTCCGTTCCAGCGGCCGGAGGAACGCCTGCGGGGTTGGAAGAGGCGGCGCGGCTGGAGGGTTCCCGCCATACGGCGTTTCGCGCCAAAAGTTTGGGAGTTGGCGCCATTTTTGAGGGCCCGACTCCGCTTGGCGGGAAACGAGGACACCACGTGGCCAGAGGTCTCCACACAGCGCAGCCCGCGTCATCGGCGAGCGCCGGAGCTCTCCATTTTGCGCCTGCAGAGGGAGCCGACATTTTCTACAACCACAGCGGCGCGCGGGAAAATCGCTCCAACGACGACGACGACGATCGAGTTCTCCAGCAACGATTGCCCGCGCTGTCGGTGTTCAAGGCGGACGGGGGCGACTGGGGAGCCTTCCAGCGACGGTTCATCGCGCATCAAGAAATGTCGGGGTGGTCCGACACCACTGCCCTGCGCGCGCTGCCAGCGATGCTCGACGACGACGCGCTTGCGGCCTTCACGTCTGCCCCGAGGTCGTCCCGCTCAACGCTCCAGGCCGCGCTGCACCTGTTGGCCAAGGTGTTCGGGCCGCCCTCGACCTGTCGCCACCAGTTCTACGATCGGCGGAAGGTGGTTGGAGAAACAACGCTCGCCTATCGCACGGCGCTGCTCGCCCTGGCAGATTCAGCTTTTCCCCGTATGGACAAGGAGGGGAAGGACGCCATGGTGACGGAGCAGCTGCTGGCGCTGGCTCACGGATTGGGAGTTCCCATTAATACGGCGGACGAGATGGACATCTGCTCCCTGGGGATTGCCACGAGTATCCACGCTTACGAGGTCCTACAGCGGAAACCGACGGTCGTCTGCGCATCGGTGGAGAACGGGGCACCGGCCGCCACGATCATCGGACCTCAGCCTGCTGTGCCTCGGGAGGAGGCCTTCGCGGGTTCGAGGCCGGGGGAGTGGAGAACGGGCGGTCGTTCGCCCACACGCTCCTCCCGCAAGCTGGAGCAACCGAAACCCACGACGTCCCTCGTCGTCTGCTACAACTGCGGCCTTCGGGGCCACGTCGCGTCGGGATGCCGGGCCCCGCGTCAACGCACCGCGGGACCACGTCCGGACGACGCCCAGGGACTCAAGACATCCCAACTGAACCCGGCAAGTCGCGGCACCTCACACGTTCGGTCCACAAGCACGGCACATTCGGGTCGCCGCTTAGCGGTGGGGGGACCGGGTATGGGCGCCGGGGGTTCGGTTCGGCGAGAGGGGTCCGCGTACGGCCCGAAGGCAGTCGAGTGGTCCGAATTAGCCCACAGGATTGTGGCTGCGTCGGCCGGGTCGTCCGTGGTAACGGGGTACATTGACGGGGTTGAGGTCCGGGTGCTCGTGGACACGGGTGCGTCGGCCACTATTATTTCGGACCTGATTTATAATATTCTTCCCGTACAATGTCGACCACTTCTGCCGGTGGACGTACCGTTTTACGCGGCAAACGGGGGATCTTTGGGAATCATCGGCCAGATTCGGGCGAATATTTGTATTGGCGACATTAAATTGGCGGGTCCTATTTTTGTATCATCATCGTTGGCCGTTCCTTGTTTACTAGGCACGGATTTTCTGTCTAAGATGCCCATAAAAATTCTCATAGACCAGGCCTGCATTGAGCTTCCATCGGGTCGGCGGGTTGAGTTTTTGAAGAGTCCAAATAAGATACGCACGGCTTGTGCGACGGTGCAGGCGCTGGCAACCCGGACTGTACGGGTGCCCCCGGGATCGCAAATGTTGGTGCCCCTTCGGTTGAGAAAACCCCTTGGGGCGGATGCGGGGGCGCAGGGAGTTCTATTGGGGCCGTCTAACAGGGCTAAAGGGGACCTCGACTTAGCGGTGGCCCAGACCATGGTGAGGGGGGACAGTGAGCCGTTCGTTGTGGTCCTGAATACGGGGTCGCGGCCGGCCGTGATTACGCAGGGAACGGTACTCGCTCACGCCGCGCCGCTGCCCGTCGAGGAACAGCTCGTTGCTCACGCCGATTCGCATGTCGATACGCATCCCCAAAGTGAGGAGGGGACGGAGTGGTTGGACTCGTTGTGTGCCGGGTCCAGTACCTTGTCCAGTGTGCAGAGGGGTGCATTGAGGGGCTTGCTGCTCGAGTTCGCTGACGTGTTTAGCAGGCACAAGTACGACATTGGCTGCACAGACCTGTTGCGCCACCACATAGAGACTGGGGATGCGGCCCCTATTCGACAGAATCCCTTCCGGCTCAGTCCAGCCGAGAAGGAGCATGTGCAGTCAGCAGTAAATGACATGTTGGCGGCCGACATCATTGCGCCCTCTTCCAGTCCGTGGGGTGCTCCTATCGTCTTGGTTAAAAAACAGGATGGATCCCTGCGGTTCTGTGTTGATTTCCGCCGCCTAAACAAAATATCAATGGCCGATGCGTATCCGCTCCCCAGGATGGATGAGTCGCTGGATGCCTTGGCAGGAGCACAGTTTTTTTCGACGCTCGATTTGCTTTCGGGATTTTGGCAATTGCCCCTCGATGACGAATCGAAACCTAAAACCGCTTTCCGGACACCGGGAGGCCTATTTGAGTTCAACCGATTGCCCATGGGTTTACATTCCGCTCCTGCCACGTTCCAGAGGCTCATGGAATTGGTTTTGTCAGGCCTTCAATGGGACACCTGTTTGATTTACCTCGACGATATCATCGTTTTCAGCCGAACTTTTGAGGAGCACCTCCAGCGACTGAGGGCAGTGTTTCTCAGGATGCGTTCCGCGAAGCTTAAATTTAAACCGGCTAAATGTTTTCTGCTTCGGGAATCGGTCAGGTATTTGGGCCATATCGTTAGCCGTTCGGGGATCTCGACGGACCCTGCTAAGACGGAATGCGTCGGCTCATGGCCAACACCGACCTCTGTTACTGAAGTCCGCAGCTTCATAGGATTTGCCTCCTATTACCGTCGTTTTGTCAAACAGTTTGCCACCATAGCCAGGCCCCTGCACGCCTTGACGGCTAAAGGGGTGCGGTTTCACTGGGGGCCGGAGGAGGAGGCCGCGTTCTGCTCCCTGCGTGACGCCTTGGTGCAGGCTCCCCCCTTGTGTTACCCCGATTTCACGCAACCGTTTGTGCTCGACACGGATGCCAGTAACACGGGTATCGGGGGAGTGCTCTCACAGGTGGTCGGGGGGGTCGAACGGGTGGTCGCCTACGGTAGCAGGGTTCTGTCCCCCGCGGAACAACGCTACTGTGTGACACGGCGTGAATTGCTGGCGATCGTGTTTTTTATACAGCAATTCAGGCCGTATCTGTATGGCCGTCACTTTACGGTTCGCACGGACCATGCGGCTCTCCAATACGCTATGCGGGTGGCGCAGCCATCCGGCCAATTGTCCCGATGGTTGGAGGTCCTTCAGGACTACCAATTCACGACGATTTACCGCAAGGGGTTGCGCCACTCGAATGCGGATGCATTGTCACGGTTGCCGACGCGTACGGAATGCGCATGTCAGTTGGGATCGGCGCGGTGTAAACCTTCTGTCGATGTTCCCGCGGAAGTGGTGCTAGCCGCCACGGATACGACGGGGGTCGACGCCCCCACGGGGAGGGACTCGCTGTTAGCATTGCCTCTCATCGAGTGGGGCCGTCTGCAAATGGCCGACAGCTCCCTACTCGCGCTACGTCGGAAGGTTAACGTTCCCGAGGGCGGGGAAACGCGGGTCGGTTCCTGGGTGTGCAGACAGGGCCTCTTGATGAAGTGGGACTCCATGTCCCGGCGTCACGTGCTTGTGGTGCCGGTTGCTGTACGGGGTAAAGTCGTCCTGGCTGCCCATGAACGACTCATGCACCTGGGGTTTCACAAAACGCTCGCCCTCATTCAGCGAGACTACTATTGGCCTGGGATGGGCAGTGACGTGGCGAACATTCTTAAGGGGTGTGTAGGGTGCGCTAAAAGAAAACCGCCACCAATAGCGGCTAATCCACCGCTTCAATCCATTCAAGTTTCGCGCACGAACGAATTGGTCGCGCTAGACATCTTGGGGCCCTTTCCCACCACACCTCGGGGAAATAAGTTCCTGCTGGTTGGCGTAGAGTACTTCACCCGCTGGCCCATGGCGTGGCCACTCGCCAACCAGTCGGCTGCGGCGGTGGCGGACGCCTTTGTCCAAGGTTACGTTTTGGACAAAGGCGCCCCCGAATGCTTGCTCACGGATCAAGGAAAAAACTTTTCGAGTGTTTTGTTGCGCGAGGTGTGCGACCTGTTGGGTACGAAGAAAGTACGTACCTCCCCGTACCACCCGCAGACTGACGGTATGGTTGAACGTCTGAACAGGACGATTACGTCTATGCTGTGCCAACAGGTATGCGACGACCAGGTGGATTGGGACTTACAGGTACCGGGGGTACTAGCGGCCTATCGGATGGCACCCCATGCGGCGACGGGGTTTTCTCCATTTTTTCTGATGTATGGGCGGGAGGCTGATCCGGCCATGGACGTCCAACTGGGGATTTCACAGCCACGTGCAAAATCTAAATTGGCAGACCACATTAAGTTTAACATCGCCAAATTGGGGGAGGCGCGAGAGGCTGCGAGATTGAATTCACGCTCTCGGCAGATCGCGAACGAGCGATTGCATGAACGGAAGGTGCGTACGCACAATTGGGAACCGGGCGATAAAGCCTGGCTGCATTGTCCACACGCACCGTTGGCTACGTCCCCCAAACTGTTGAGACCGTGGAGGGGACCGGTGGAAATTGTGCGGGTTGCACGACCCCAGAGTATACAGATTAAATGGGGAAAACGCCGTTGGTACGTGCACCCCTCCCGACTGAAACCCTACGCGGCGCCGCGTGACCCCGGGTTGTGCCGTGACGACCGAGCGTGGGATGTGACCGTCGACTCGGGGAGGGATGTGTCGCAGGCTGATCCTCACGTGTCTCCACCTGACCCACCCCCAGGTGTCTCGGACCTGACGGCTGTTGACCGTCGGGAACCGGAACCCCGGGGCTCGCACGGAGCCCCGATGCCTGTCCCATGCCTCCCTGAACTGCCGGCGCTGCCGGATGGCCAACTGCGTCCTGTGCCGTACGACGGTCCGGCAAGGCGGACTCGATCAAGGACGCAACACTTTTCATGAAAAAAAAAAATATATATATATTCTTTTTTTGTTAAAGCCCGACTTCGTTGCCGGCTTCCCCCCCTCTGCCGGGGTAATGTCCCGTTCAAGGGACGCTCGGACATTGGGACATTGCATGAGTCGGAGAGAAAAGAAGAGAAAATGATTAAAGAAATTTTTTTTATTGTTACTCTTTCCGCATACACAGTATCGTTGCCACTCGCCGGATTGTGCATGTTGTTCTTGTTGCGGGTGGGGCGGTTGCTGGGTTTTGCGGATTGCGGTGTTCATGTTGTGTTATGTTACGGGGCACACATGGGAGTGAAGGGGTGTTGTATGGTTTATTAGCAGCCGGGTCGGCTGCGAGCTATGTGGTAGGGGGTGATGTAGTGGTGGTATTGACGTGCGCCGGCAGTGAGGGATCACGGGGCGCGGGGTTGGGAACGCAGTGTGGGCGTGGCATGGACGCGCGCGCCGGTGGTGAGGCGCGCTCACACAAGCTGGGAAGAGAGGATCGTAGCGAGTGCGCAGTGATTGGTCAGATAAGTGGGTACTCTCAGCGACGTCCGCAGGAGGGGTATAAAGGGGGACGCGCGAGAGCACTCGTGGTCAGTGTTAACCAGTTGAAGACCGAAGACGGGGTGGAGGAGATAGGGGCCCTGTGTGGCTCGGAGCCGAGACTGGGGGGACCGTAGTCCGACGCCCGTGTGGGTCGGGACGGTGGTACCCAGAGCCGAGACGGGCACCCCGGCTGGGTGTGTCCCGGACGGCAACGGGGCGTAAGAGCCCGTGTCAGTACAGCTGAGTGGGTGTTAGTCGCCCGTGTAGCTGAGTGGGTGTTAGTCACCCGTGTAGCTGAGTGGGTGTTAGTCACCCGTGTAGCTGAGTGGGTGTTAGTCACCCGTGTAGCTGAGTGGGTGTTAGTCACCCGTGTAGCTGAGTGGGTGTTAGTCACCCGAGTAGCTGAGTGGGTGTGGGTCACCCGTGTAGCTGAGTGGGTGTGGGTCACCCGTGTAGCTAAGTGGGTGTTGGTCACCCGTGTAACGAAGTCGTAGCTGAGTGGGTGTCCGTCACCCGTGTAGCTAAGTGGGTGTTGGTCACCCGTGTAACGAAGTCGTAGCTGAGTGGGTGTCCGTCACCCGTGTAGCTAAGTGGGTGTTGGTCACCCGTGTAACGAAGTAGGGTGTTAGTCATCCGTGTAACTACAAGTTGGTGAAAATAAAGAGTGTGCTACCCGTGAAGTCGTCTCCTGCCGAGTTACTACTTTACATATGCTCCAACTCTCCAGGCAGATCCCGCTGATAAAGACAAGTTTTATTCCGACCTACGCAGCCTTCTGCAGGATATCCCAGCTGACGACAAGATTGTCATCCTTGGCGACTTCAACGCCAGAGTGGGCAGAGACTCGGAAACTTGGAAAGGCGTACTTGGAAGGCACGGCGTGTTACTTGAACTCTGTGCGGAACAACAGCTTTCCATTACCAACACCATCTTCCAGCAGAAAGACAGTCTGAAAACAACCTGGATGCACCCTCGGTCAAAACATTGGCATCTCATAGACTACATCCTTGTGCGCCAGCGTGACCTAAAAGATGTCTTTCACACCAGGGTAATGCCCAGCGCCGAGTGTCACACAGACCACCGTCTTGTCCGCTGCAAACTCAGCTTTCACTTTAAACCCAGACCAAGAAACGGTGGCGCCCCGAGGAAGAAGCTCAAAGTCTGCAGCCTTCAGTCTGCCGCGGTCAAAGCAGCTTTCCAGAAAAGCCTACGATCTAGGCTAGAGGAACCGAGCTGCCTAGGAGACTCGCCTCCGATTCCTGAAGTGCTGTGGGACCGCATCAAAACTGTTGTTCTGCAAACATCTGAAGATACCCTCGGATTCTCCACGAAGAAAAACAGAGATTGGTTCGATGAGAACAACTTAGAAGTCCAGGAGCTGCTGTCAAAGAAGAGATCAGCACACCAGGCCCACCTGGCCCGACCATCCTGCCCGCACAAAAAAGCAGCCTTCCGCCTGGAATGCAGCACCATCCAGCGCAAGCTTCGAGAGATTCAGAACGAGTGGTGGACCAACCTCGCAGTAAAAACTCAGGTTTGCGCTGATACTGGCGACTACAGGGGATTCTACGAAGCCCTAAAAGCGGTATATGGCCCCTCGTACCAAATCCTGAGCCCCCTGCGGAGTACAGACGGGAAAAAAACTGCTCACTGAAAAGGACTCAATCCTGAACCGCTGGTCTGAGCACTTCTACACGCTCTTCAATGCTAGCCGCTCAGTCCAAGAACCAGCGATTGACCGCATCCCACAACAACCAGTGAAAACCGAACTGGATGTGGCACCAACATTACAAGAGACTGAGGAAGCCATTAAACAGCTGAAGAGTGGTAAAGCTGCAGGAGTCGATGGCATCCCTCCTGAAGTATGGAAGAACGGAGGCCCAGCACTGCACACCAAACTCCATGAATTCTTCGTCTGCTGCTGGGAGCAGGGTAAACTCCCTCAAAATCTCAAAGATGCAGTCATCATCACCCTGTACAAGAACAAAGGGGAGAAATCAGACTGTTCCAATTATCGTGGCATAACACTTCTGTCCGTCGCCAGCAAAATCCTCGCAAGAGTACTGCTGAATAGACTGGTACCCGCAATAGCTGAAGATCACCTCCCAGAGACCCAGTGTGGCTTTAGAGCCAACCGGGGGACCACAGACATGGTGTTTGTCCTGAGGCAGATTCAGGAAAAGTGCCGGGAGCAAAACAAAGCACTGTACGTCACCTTTGTGGACCTGACAAAAGCGTTTGACACCGTGAGCAGGCAGGGACTTTGGAAAATCCTGGACAAGCTAGGCTGCCCACCGAAGTTCCTCACCATGATCGTCCAGCTTCATGAAGACCAGCTTGGACAAGTCAGACATAGCAACAATCTCTCGCAGCCCTTCCCTATTGCAAACGGCGTGAAACAGGGCTGTGTTCTTGCTCCCACGCTGTTCACCATTTTGTTCAGCATGATGCTCCAGTAGGTCACAGAGGACCTCGACGACGCTGATGGCGTATACATCCGTTTTCGTCTCGACGGGAGCGTGTTCAACCTGAGGCGTTTGCAGGCCCACACAAAGACCATGGAGCAACTGATCAGGGAGCTGCTTTTTGCTGACGATGCCGCCCTCCTTGCTCATACAGAGGCAGCTATGCAGCGAATTACGTCCTGTTTCGCGAAAACAGCTCAGATCTTCGGCCTTGAAGTCAGCCTGAGGAAGACTGAAGTTCTTCATCAGTCCGCACCCCATGAGGAGCACCATCCACCAAGCATCTTCATTGAACAAACAGAACTGAAAGCTGTCCACCAGTTCAGCTACTTGGGGTGCGTCATCTCGTCTGACGCCAAGATCGACAACGAAGTCGACAACAGGCTGGCCAAGGCAAACAGTGCATTTGGCAGACTATACAAACGTGTCTGGAACAACAGAAACCTTAAAAGAGCCACAAAGGTCAACGTCTACAAAGCTGTTGTGCTGACAACTCTCCTGTATGGCGCTGAGTCCTGGGTCACGTACCGTCGTCACCTGAGTCTCCTCGAGCGTTTCCATCAGCACTGCCTCCGCACAATCTTCAATATTCACTGGAGTGACTTCGTCGCCAACACTGAAGTCCTCAAGTCAGCGAAGGTCATCAGCATCGAGGCCATGGTCCTCAAGACACAGCTTCGTTGGGCAGGGCACATCGCCAGGATGGAGAACCACCGCTTGCCTAAGATTGTGCTGTATGGGGAACTGTCCTCTGGCCATCGCGACATAGGGGCACCACGAAAGCGATACAAAGACTCCCTGAAGAAGTCCCTCACTGCTTGCTGCATCGATCACCGTCAGTGGGCAACACAAGCAGCTGATCGCAACTCCTGGCGGCACACAGTCCACCAGGCCACCTCCTTCTTCGAAGATACCCGCAGGGCCCGTATGGAGGACAAAAGGAGAAGGAGGAAGAACCATGATCCCTCAGCACCCATCCCAGATGAGACCTATACTTGCAGCTGTTGTGGCAGGACCTGCTTGTCCCGCATAGGCCTCTTCAGCCACCAGCGTGCCTGCAGAAGACGTGGATGTCCTTCCTAGATCTTCGTTCGCGAAGCCAAGCCATGAGTGTAGGGGTTGCTGTGTGTGTGTAGTGGTTGCTGTGTGTGTGTGTAGTGGTCGCTGTGTGTGTGTGTAGTGGTTGCTGTGTGTGTGTGTAGTGGTTGCTGTGTGTGTAGTGGTTGCTGTGTGTGTGTGTAGTGGTTGCTGTGTGTGTGTAGTGGTTGCTGTGTGTGTGTGTAGTAGTTGCTGTGTGTGTGTGTAGTGGTTGCTGTGTGTGTGTAGGGGTTGCTGTGTGTGTGTGTAGTGGTTGCTGTGTGTGTGTGTGTAGTAGTTGCTGTGTGTGTAGTAGTTGCTGTGTGTGTGTGTAGTGGTTGCTGTGTGTGTGTGTAGTGGTTGCTGTGTGTGTGTAGTAGTTGCTGTGTGTGTGTGTGTAGTGGTTGCTGTGTGTGTGTGTAGTGGTTGCTGTGTGTGTGTGTAGGGATTTCTGTGTGTGTAGTAGTTGCTGTGTGTGTGTGTAGTAGTTGCTGTGTGTGTATGTAGTAGTTGCTGTGTGTGTGTGTAGTAGTTGCTGTGTGTGTGTAGGGGTTGCTGTGTGTGTGTGTGTGTAGTGGTTGCTGTGTGTGTGTAGTGGTTGCTGTGTGGGTGTGTGTAGTAGTTGCTGTGTGTGTAGTGGTTGCTGTGTGTGTGTGTGTAGTGGTTGCTGTGTGTGTGTAGTAGTTGCTGTGTGTGTGTGTAGTGGTTGCTGTGTGTAGTGGTTGCTGTGTGTGTGTGTAGTGGTTGCTGTGTGTGTGTGTAGTAGTTGCTGTGTGTGTGTGCGTAGTGGTTTCTGTGTGTGTGTGTGTAGTAGTTGCTGTGTGTGTGTAGTGGTTGCTGTGTGTGTGTGTAGTGGTTGCTGTGTGTGTGTAGTAGTTGCGGTGTATGTGTGTAGTGGTTGCTGTGTGTGTGTGTAGTGGTTGCTGTGTGTGTGTGTAGTGGTTGCTGTGTGTGTGTAGTGGTTGCTGTGTGTGTGTGTAGTGGTCGCTGTGTGTGTGTGTGTAGTGGTTGCTGTGTGTGTGTGTGTAGTAGTTGCTGTATGTGTTTGTGTAGTGGTTGCTGTGTGTGTAGTGGTTGCTGTGTGTGTGTGTAGTGGTCGCTGTGTGTGTGTGTAGTGGTTGCTGTGTGTGTGTGTAGTGGTTGCTGTGTGTGTGTAGTGGTTGCTGTGTGTGTGTAGTGGTTGCTGTGTGTAGTGGTTGCTGTGTGTGTAGTGGTTGCTGTCTGTGTGTGTGTAGTGGTTTCTGTGTGTGTGTAGTGGTTGCTGTGTGTGTGTGTAGTAGTTGCTGTGTGTGTGTGTAGTGGTTGCTGTGTGTGTGTGTGTAGTGGTTGCTGTGTGTGTGTGTGTAGGGGTTTCTGTGTGTGTAGTAGTTGCTGTGTGTGTGTGTAATAGTTGCTGTGTGTGTGTAGTGGTTGCTGTGTGTAGTGGTTGCTGTGTGTGTGTAGTGGTTGCTGTGTGTGTGTGTAGTGGTTGCTGTGTGTGTGTAGTGGTTGCTGTGTGTGTGTGTAGTAGTTGCTGTGTGTGTGTGTAGTAGTTGCTGTGTGTGTGTGTAGTAGTTGCTGTGTGTGTGTGTGGAGTAGTTGCTGTGTGTGTGTGTAGTAGTTGCTGTGTGTGTGTGGAGTGGTTGCTGTGTGTGTGTGTAGTGATTGCTGTGTGTGTGTGTAGGGGTTGCTGTGTGTGTGTGTAGTGGTTGCTGTGTGTGTGTAGTGGTTGCTGTGTGTGTAGTGGTTGCTGTGTGTGTGTGTGTAGGGGTCGCTGTGTGTGTAGGGGTCGCTGTGTGTGTGTTGACTCTTATTCTTCACCGATGCAAATCCAACGTCTTTGCTGCTCACAGCTCGGAGAAGGGAAGTTAGAAGGTAAACGAAACTAAAGTTTTAAGGAAAACTTTGGTTGTTAAAAGCTCACAACGGCATATTTCTTTAACAACTACAACAACGACAATACTACAACAACAAGACTACTACAACAACAGAAAGACAACAACTGCAACAAGAAGCTCACATACCGTGCTCACCTCGCCGTGCTGTACATTGAAACTATTTCTCACCGTACGTAGCACACCGTAACTAAGTCTTAGTATATGGGCAGTGTTAGTCTGTGGGTAGTGTTAGTCTATGTGCAGTGCTAGTCAATGGGTGGTGTTAGTCTATGGGTAGTGTTAGTGTATGGGTAGTGTTAGTGTATGGGCAGTGCTAGTCAATGGGCAGTGCTGGTCTATGGGTAGTGTTAGTGTATGGGTAGTGTTAGTCTTTGGGCAGTGTTAGTGTATGGGCAGTGTTAGTCTATGAGTAGTGTTAGTCTATGGGTAGTGTTAGTCTTTGGGCAGTGTTAGTCTATGGGTAGTGTTAGTGTATGGGCAGTGCTAGTCTATGGGTAGTGTTAGTGTATGGGCAGTGTTAGTCTATGTATGGACAGTGTTAGTCTATAGACAGTGTTAGTCTATGGGTAGTGATAGTGTATGGGCAGTGTTAGTCTATGAGTAGTGTTAGTCTATAGGCAGTGTTAGTCTATGGGCAGTGTTAGTCTATGGACAGTGTTGAGTCTATGGGCAATGTTAGTCTACGGGCAGTGTTAGTCTACGGGCAGTGTTGAGTCTATGGGTAGTGTTAGTCTATGGGTAGTGTTAGTCTATGGGTAGTGTTAGTCTATGGGTAGTGTTAGTCTATGGGTAGTGCTCGTCTATGGCCAGTGTTAGTCTATGGGTAGTGTTAGTCTACGGGCAGTGTTAAGTCTATGGGCAGTGTTAGTCTATGGGTAGTGTTAAGCTATGGGCAGTGTTAGTCTATGGGTAGTGTTAGTCTATGGGTAGTGCTCGTCTATGGCCAGTGTTAGTCTATGGGTAGTGTTAGTCTATGGGCAGTGTTAGTCTATGGCCAGTGTTAGTCTATGGGCAGTGTTAGTCTATGGGCAGTGTTAGTCTATGGGCAGTGTTAGTCTACGGGCAGTGTTGAGTCTATGGGCAGTGTTAGTCTATGGGCAGTGTCAGTCTATGGGCAGTGTTAGTCTATGGGTAGTGTTAGTCTATGGGCAGTGTTAGGCTATGGCCAGTGTTAGTCTATTGGCAGTATGTATGTACGTTGAACCTCTTTCTCACCGTACGCAGCCAACAGTTGTCTCATTGAAAGTGCGGTGGTGGTGTTATTATTATCATCTACGGTGTCGTGTTGCGTCTACTTGAACCACGCCGCGGCATGGTGAGGTGAATTGTCTCGAATGGGGGGTTAAGTGGTCGTTTGTAGCGCTGCGAACCCCTGGCGACCGAGTTCGATTGCTGGCTCCACGGCCACCGACACGTTCCTGACGAGAATCTAAACCGGTCTAGGGCCCTCCTCTAGGTCGACTCAGCCTGAAATGAGTTACCTGGTGCGGTGGTAAACATCGCCAGTCGGAGTGCAAAAGGGCGTGGTGCTGGCCACCCACGCCCTCGTGTGCCACGGTGCCGGCAGCCTTCAAAGACGCTGCTGCTGCTACCCGCGACTGCAGCCCCTCACCTCAACGATCTGTTAAAGCTACACGGAAGATCTCGGCACTTGCAGTTCTTGATGCGTGCGGTGAGTGTCTATATTAGATGTTTTTACTACTTTATTACTCGAGTTATAATTCGTCTGTCTCGGGGTGGGTTGCAGAATCTTTGTCTGTGAGTGTCGGATAATTCTAGATTTGAAGCTTTCGTGACTGCTAATGATTCATATTCTTGGGTTTTTTCGGTAAAGTCACGTAGGTAAAAAAATATAAATTAATAAAAGTAAAATTAAAATAAAATAAAAATCACGACGTTTCGGGGGCAACACAAGCTTCCGTCTTCAGGTGGAACCGTCACAGCACGCTTGCTGTATCACATTTACTTGATACAGCAAGCGTGGAACCGTCACAGCACGCTTGCTGTATCACATTTACTTGATACAGCAAGCGTGGAACCGTCACAGCACGCTTGCTGTATCACATTTACTTGATACAGCAAGCGTGCTGTGACGGTTCCACCTGAAGACGGAAGCTTGTGTTGCCTCCGAAACATCGTGATTTTTTTTTCTTTTACTTTTATTACTTTTTATTTTTTTACCTACGTGACTTTACCGAAAAAATCCAAGAATAAGTGTCGGATAAGTTGCGAGTCTCCGTCTGCGCACGCACTCGCACGGATTGCAGTTTCAATCCACTCCACCAAGCCCAGTGCACTTGTCCCCGCAGCCTGTGAGACAGTGCGCCTTTGTCTTTGTGAGTGGTGGCGCAGTGGTGAGCGCGCACTGCTGCTGCTGCTGCTGATGCTACGAACCCCGGGCAGTCTGAGTTTGATTCCCGCTCATTGCCAAATATATCTATGTATGTGTGTATGTTGAACTTCTTTTTGCATCATTCGTAGCCAACCGTGTGAATCCGTGGGTGTCTGTGGGTCTCTGTGTGTCTCTATGGGTGTCTCTGGGTCTCTATGGGTCTGGGTGTCTGTGGGTCTCTGTGTCTCTATGGGTGTCTCTTGGTGTCTATATGGGTCTGGGTGTCTGTGGGTCTCTGTGTCTCTATGGGTGTCTCTGGGTCTCTATGGGTCTGGGTGTCTGTGGGTCTCTGTGTGTCTCTATGGGTGTTTCTGGGTCTCTATGGGTCTAGGTGTCTGTGGGTCTCTGTGTGTCTCTATGGGTGTCTCTGGGTCTCTATGGGTCTGGGTGTCTGTGGGTCTCTGTGTGTCTCTATGGGTGTTTCTGGGTTTCTATGGGTCTGGGTGTCTGTGGGTCTCTGTGTGTCTCTATGGGTGTCTCTTGGTGTCTCTATGGGTCTGGGTGTCTGTGGGTCTCTGTGTGTCTCTATGGGTGTCTCTGAGTCTCTATGGGTCTGGGTATCTGTGGGTCTCTGTGTGTCCCTATGGGTGTCTCTGGGTCTCTATGGGTCTGGGTGTCTGTGGGTCTCTGTGTGTCTCTATGGGTGTCTCTGGGTCTCTATGGGTCTGGGTGTCTGTGGGTCTCTGTGTGTCTCTATGGGTGTCTCTGGGTTTCTATGGGTCTGGGTGTCTGTGGGTCTCGGTGTGTCTCTATGGGTGTCTCTTGGTGTCTCTATGGGTCTGGGTGTCTGTGGGTCTCTGTGTCTCTATGGGTGTCTCTGGGTCTCTATGGGTCTGGGTGTCTGTGGGTCTCTGTGTGTCTCTATGGGTGTCTCTTGGTGTCTCTATGGGTCTGGGTGTCTGTGGGTCTCTGTGTGTCTCTATGGGCGTCTCTTGGTGTCTCTATGGGTCTGGGTGTCTGTGGGTCTCTGTGTGTCTCTATGGGTGTTTCTGGGTTTCTATGGGTCTGGGTGTCTGTGGGTCTCTGTGTGTCTCTATGGGTGTCTCTTGGTGTCTCTATGGGTCTGGGTGTCTGTGGGTCTCTGTGTGTCTCTATGGGTGTCTCTTGGTGTCTCTATGGGTCTGGGTGTCTGTGGGTCTCTGTGTGACTCTATGGATGTCTCTGGGTCTCTATGGGTCTAGGTCTACTCAGCCTTAACTCTGAGCGTGTACACATCGATTAGTTGGGAAGACAAAGATGGCCGGGCGTGTTTCCTCGCCAAACCACGGACACTGTGCACAGCGACCTTAACAGGTGCTCACTGACATCACCGCTCACTCCTGCAGCCTACTTGGCCAGATTCCTGTGGTTCGGCAGCTCGTTTTCAGGAAAATCAAAAAGTTAAATCAAGAATTACAAGAAATGACGTACGCTGCTGCACACGTGATCCCTTGGGGCCGTCCATAAATGACGTCATGCACCTAGGGGGCGGGGGTCAGACATTTTTGACGATATGTGACGAGGGGGGGGGGGGGTTGAGAAATGTGACGTCACATCAAAATGGGGGGAGGGGGGGTAACCCAAATGCGTATGGGGGGGTCTCCTGACAATGCACGGGGGGGGGGGGGGAGCCTCGATAATAATAATGCAGCCGGCGATGGACTATGTGTTTGCTTAAACACGTTTATATTATTGATCATCAATGGATGGCCCCAATTGGAGCGGATCGCGCTGCTCTGCGCTACGAACCTTACGACCCGGGGTTCGATTCCCACTCACGACCAACACCAGTGACGATTATCTGAACCGGTCTTGGGCCTCTCCTAGGTCGACTCAGCCTCAAATGAGTACCTGGTGAGATGTGTAGACATCGCCACTAGGGAGACAAAGGCGGCCGGGTGTGGTGTTCAACCACCCCCTCGTTTGCCGTACCCGCCTTTATAGGTGCTCGCTAACAGCACTTGTCCCTACAGTCTGTTAAGGCTATACGGGGGATCTTTGTATTTGCCTTTATTGATGAATACATTGTGGGGAGCGGTAGTGTGGAAGCGGTTAGCTTCGAATCTGAGTCCCGCTCACAGCCACCAACATCAGTAGCGATAGCGATTATTGGAACCCGTTCTGGTGCCTCTCCCTAGGTCGCCTCAGCCTCAAATGAGTAGCTGGTGCAGTGGTGCGTAAAACCATCGCCGCTGGGGAGACAAAGGCGGCCGGGTGTGGTGCTGGCCACCCACCCCCTCGTGTGCCGCAGTGCCGGTAGCCTTCATAGGTGCTGCTACTCGCTACGAACAGCACTCGCCCCAACAGTCTGTTATACGGGGGGATCTCTGTATTTGTACACATTAAAGATAATAATTTTACCAAGTATAAGTCCACTGAGCAAGAAGCGACCCGGCCATCACGAATGATCGCTCCAGGAAGTGGCTTATCACGTGGAAACTTACGGCGGCCAAGTGCTCTTTTAATTTCGATGACAGAATGCATGCTGAAGCTGGGAGTGGGGGCGAACAAAATTTAGTTTGAAGAAATTAGTGTGTGTGTGTAGTATGCATGTTGAACTTCTTTGGCACCGTGCGTAGCCAACCGGGCTAACCTGTGGGTCTCTATGGGTGTCTCTAAGTGTCTCTGTGGGTCTCTGTATATGTATCATGCAGAGGTGTAAAAAGTACTCAAAAATGTTACTCAAGTGAAAGTACAAGTACTGAGGGAAAATTTTACTCAATTAAAAGTAAAAGTATCTGGCTAGAATCTTACTTGAGTAAAAGTAAAAAAGTACCACATTAAAATTGTACTTGAGTATTAAATAAGTAAAAGTAACAGCAAGAATGAAAACTAGAGATTCTTGTTTAAGCTTTTAATCTCAAAAACATTAAATGAAATGCAAATAATGTTTTATCCTGCTTTAGAACTGTTTGTATTTAATTATAAAACTATAAGTCTATCTAATGCCAGTATGCAACATGCTACTCAAAGTTGTAAAACCTCAGATTTAACTTAAGCAGAAGCTGATTTTCAAAATTGTGAGTGTCAAGCCTAGCTCTTTTGGGGCTGAAAAGCAATCCTGCAGTGCTGAAAAGCCTCTCACAGGCAGCCGATGCAGGAAGAGGTGTATTAGTCTTGATAGAGAGGCTGCAAATAGCAGGGAACGTGAGCAGAGACTCCCTGGTGTCTGAAACACAGGCCAGATATCCATCCAACTCTTTGCTGGCTTCATGTGTTGTCGGTTTCAAAGAAGCGAAAAAATCTTCATCATCAGATGAACTGTTGGCCAATTCCTTATTGTGGTCCAAAGGCTCCAGATGCACTCTGATGTAGTCCATGCCTACAAGCAGAGTGAGCAGACACAAAGAAAGGTTTGGTTGAGGGGCTTCTGACTGGGAACAAATTTTATGGATTTTGTCATTAACTACATTTACGTGCAGTCATCTACATCTAAATGTCTAAAATCATGCAAATCCATTATTTTAGCATAAATTCTAACAGCATTTCCAAGCCACATATGATACGAGAGTTTTGTTTCAAGAAACACTGAGGGATAACTACAACCTGCTGCAAGAATACTATACATGAATATTCATATTGAGATCACAGCCAAAGATCGGATCATAATATTCCTAAAAAGTTCAAAAAAAAATATTGGTATGGATCAAATGTTGCCCAGATTAGAATTTCTTCAAGTGTATGTTGCTTGCATTCATTTACCTCGTTTTATGAGGTTTCATCATTTGTCCAAGAGGTCCGAAATTTAGGGAGAAGGATGGCAGCTGCGATGATCTCAGGATCTTCAAACATATGCTTGAATCGTGTTTTGATTCCTTGTTGTAGGGCATCCACAAGTGGGTCACAGTACCTGAGAGAATGGTGGAGTCGCTGAAGTTTAAGCTTAACTGATGGACACTAGGCAGCAGCCACCCCAGCTGTGTATTCGTTTCCGCTTGCAAGATGTCGAGTACTTTTGCAACTGGACGCATTGTGTTGGCCCACTCTGTCAAGAACAGCATTTCTGCTGGATTAAACCTACAGGAGAAATCGGCATAATCAAAGAGTATACAACAACAACCCACATTTGTTAACATCAATAGAGGGGAAAAACACTTACATTGGAACCTCAAGAGAGGTGCATATATTCCTAAGTGCGCCTTCTCCTGCTTCTTTGCAAATTTGAAGAATTCTGTCAACAGCCATAAAAGTTGAATTCCACCGCATTTGGTTTGGCCTTAAAAGCTGAAGCCTGCTTTCTGCTTCAACAGCTTCAGCTGCTAGAGCCGATCGGCTGCTTTTATTCCATAAAGCTTGGCATTTGCCAAAGACAGTTCTGTAGAGTTTCTTGTAGTGTTCATTTGAGAGAGCTTTTTGGGCATCAACGCTTGAGACTAGGTTAAGTAAGTGACATGCACACTTTTGATGTTTTGGTAGCTGGAATTCGAAGCCATCGTCTTGGTCCAGGACTCGAGAGGCATCTTGGAATTCCACACCATCACTTCCCTCACCACAGCCTTCAGAATCAGTGTCATCACTTTCACACCTTCTTGTCTCAGTCTCGATATCATTGTTTTCCACACCAAAAACTCTGAAAGCCTTCAGAAAGTTGGAACCACTGTCTGTGGTTGTGCAAACAACCTTGTCACGTATTTCATACTCTGAGTGGATATCATTCATAGCACTGGCCACTACCTCAAAAGTATGAGAGCCCATTAATCTTTTGCAGGCAAGTGCAGCGGAATGTCTTTCAAGACATCAGGGTTGATCCAGTGAGCAGTTACACCAATGAATGACTTTGTACGTGCAGTCCAACAATCCGTTGTGGTTGCAATCCATTCAACTTCACTCATGGCAGCAGTCACTTTCTGTTTCATGATCAGAGCAGCTTCAGCTATCTTGGAGCGTAAAGTAGGCCTTGTAATGACAGAAATGCCAGGCTGCAGTGTACTAATCAGCTCTTTAAATGATGGCAGATCAACAGTGCTGAAAGGATGAAGTCCTTGAATGATGTACCTTAATATAGCTTTGTTCACAGTGACTGGAGACACGTGTTTGACTGGGAAAACTGAGTCAACTTTCAGTTGCTTACTGCTGGAAGCATGGGTGGAGGTCCCGATCTTTATCTTCTGTGCTGTCAATTTAGAGTAGTTTTTGAGGTGATTTGGGTGCATTCTCTGTAAAAACAACAACTAAATATTTATATTCAATATAAATGTACCAATTACACATACGCTCTCCGATTACAGCATTAATAGAACTGACATTTGCATCCAATTGCACACTTTATAATGTTAAATACTTTTTGATTTTAGAAATACAGTAGCATTTAGTGACTATCAAACATTAATTTTATTTCTGATTATATTGAAAAAAAAAACAGGACTGTAAGGCTGACATGACAGGGTGAATTGATTTAATTACATTAGTTTTGACGGTAACACTTTACAATAAGGTTCGTTAGTTAACTACATTAGTTAACATGAACTAATAATGAACTGCACGTATACAGCATTTATTAATCTTTGTTCATGTTAATTTCAACATTTACTAATACTTTATTAAAATCTTGTTAACATTAGTTCATTCACTGTGAACTAACATGAACAAACAATGAACAGCTGTATTTTTATTAACTAACGTTAACAAAGATTAACAGATACAGTTACAAATGTATTTCTCATGGTTAGTTAATGTTAGTTAATACATTAACTAATGAACCTTATTGTAAAGTGTTACCGTTTTGACAATACATGTTTGGTAATTATAAAAAAAAAACATTTCTCGCTTGGTTTTCTTGTGTTGTGCATGAATTCAAACACAATGAGAGCACGGAACGATAATGATGATTCAAAACAATACTGCTATAGGCGCCAAATTTCCCGTGGACCTAACGTTACCATAGCAAATAATTTACAGACAATTACAAATGCATTTTAGCATTTTATTACGTGAGCCTTATATTGTCAGTCGCATGCATTAGTGAAAATAGGCCCTCTACACATATAAAAGGTGCGCCGTCAAGGTCAAAACATGCACACAAAAAAAAACTATCAGTAAAACAAAATACTTAACGTACTTACCTCAATATGCTTCCTTAAGTTTGATGGCGGACTTTTGAAGGCCGATATTTCCTTATTAAGTGGGAGACAAAGGACACATTTCATCTTGAATTATTCCTTATTAATACCACTAAAAGAAAAGAATTCGCTAAGATACGGCCACGGGTGCTCTTGATCCTGTGGCTGATTTTGGACTGTGCTCGCAGCTGACTCACGTTCTTCCTCCATTTTCTTCCACTGATTGACTGTTCTAATTTCTCTAATTTCCAGGTCAAGGTGCTGTGCATTGTGGTAATAGATGTGACATATCGTCACTTCCAAAGGACCAATGAACATGTCTGACCAATTTCATGTAATGTGAAAACGATTTTCATAGGCAGAATAAATAACATTTAAATTAAACTGGGCATCAATTGGTTTGGTAATAGCAAGGGAAAATAGAATGAAGTGATCTCCAAAAAATAAGTACTTTTTGACTGTAAATTAAATTGTAAGGAGTAAAAAGTACTTTTTTTTCAACAAAAAATGTAATTAAGTAAAAGTAAAAGTATTGATTTTTATTCGTACTCAAGTAAAGTAAAATCCCCAAAAATAATACTTAAGTATAGTAATCAAGTAAAATTACTCAAGTACTTTACACCTCTGTATGTAAGTACGCATGTTGAACTTCTTTCACACCTTACGTAGCCAAACAGTGCGTGCTAATGGGAGGTGCGTGGGAAGGACAACAAACGCAACACAAGAAGTCGTTCTAAAGAAATGAGTTTGCAATCGAGGTAATTTAAAAGTGCACAGCTCCAGCGGCTCCCTAATGTCAGAAGGAAGAGCGTTCCAGACGGCTGCAGAAGCGCGGTGCAGTGACCATCTTTGTTCGATGGTTAGCCAAAAGCCGCTGCTGCCAGGATGACCGGAGTTTACGTGGTGATGGTTTATGCTCTTTAACGAGCTCACCATTGGTTTGTTGTTCATTTGTGGCGAGCACTTTGTGTGTGTAATGAGTGCGACTTCAATGTATTCGTTTGGTACCCGGAAGCCAATGCAGCTTGGCGAGTACTGACTGGACACGGTATTGGATCTTCTGCGGGAACTAAACACATATTGGTTGTCACTGTCACACGACGAACATCACTCCCAATATAGACCACTGAGGGGGGAGATAATTGCTGCCCTCCGCTATGGGAGACAGAGAGAGCTCATTGCAAAACATTCCTGTGGTAACTCTGTGGTCTCCGCTTCTGCAGGTCCATTCTAGAATAATAACAACGCCACGAAGGGCCTGGAGGAGGCACTGCCTCTGTGAGAGTTCCCCAATAGATTCTGCCTCTCGTGCTGCGATGGTGATTTAGCACAACATGGAGAGAGGAAATCAAACATTGGCAGGAAAATAATGGAAATCACTACGAATCTCAATGGGGAGCATGGCCATAGGAAACATTTAAATTAAGGACGTCTCAATGCTATCAAGGAAAATGTAAACCTCAAAGTGGTGGGACCTGGTAAGAATAAACGTGCATTTTACTGATACATTTCGTCTTGTTTCTCACAGCAGCATCGTCAGTTGTCTACGATGGTTACGAATCGGTCTGCACTGGTGGCAGTATTTGTGGGTAAGTACTGGACAGCTCTTCAGCATGCTAATATTTATTTACATTTATTGGAGGAATCCAATAAGCTATGAAGCTCTTTTTCACAGATAGTCCAGTAAGGGCACGGGGACAGAACGTTACAACAACAGACACAAAACAAAAACACGATAGGAGTGCAAAATATAGGAAAGGTAAACAAATCACGATTTAAAGCTTTCGTGACTGCAGGGATTCATCTTCTTGGTTCTTTCATTCTACATGACTTTACCGAAAGAACCAAGAAGGTAAACAAATCACTTAGAACAAAAAAATATAATTATTTAAATTTACCAGGCAAAGCCCACTGAGCGAGGTGGCTCTTATTCAGAAGCGACTTGGCTATCACAAATGACAGCTCTAACGAAGTAGCTTATGGCGTGGACATTTATAGCAGCCAAATACTGTAAACGCATTAGGATGATTCTAAATGTCGAGGGAATAAGCAGATGACCCGGAGAAAAATCCACGCGACCACCATGGAGATAGAGAGACATGCAAACTCCAAATATACAGCAGCAGGCTTCGGGGTCGCGATCGAACTCACAATCTCCTTACCAGGCAAAGCAGTTAACGTCTTCCCACCGTTACAACTAGCTTCATCAGGCGACAGCCAGATTTGTGGAGAAGTCCACCTGGATTAGGCTGTCGCCTGATGAAGTTAGTTGTAATTACTGGCGAAACGTCGTACTCAGATTGTAAATGTTGTGGCTTGGCTCTCCAACACACCGGTGTGCTGTACTAGTGACGAAGTGGCCACGTTCTATTCTTAGGTTTTTTCGGTAAAGTCACGTTGGTGACTTTACCGAAAAAAAACCTAAGAATATGAATCCTTGCAGTCACGAAAGCTTCAAATCTAGAATTGGCCACGTTCTGTTTACGTGGCAACCCTTACTGGTTGGCTGTGTCAGATGGTGGCGGGTTTTAAAGACACATTTATATATTTACGCGATCTAACCCAAAAAAAACCTCTTATGGAATATATTGGTCGCGAAAGCCTACGTGTTAAACTATGTTACATTTCTAGATTTGAAGTTTTCATGACTGCAAGGATCCATACTCTTTAGTTCTTTCGGTAAAGTCACGTAGATGAAAAATTAAATAAAAAATTAAAAACATTTTAAAAAATGTTAATATTTTTTTTCATCTACATGACACCATATGTAGCCAGCAATGCTAATCGTATGTGCAGGGGGAGGACATAACTCAACACAAAAATCAGTTTTAAAGAAATTAGTCCTCAATGTAGTATAGAGGTGTAGTGTATAGTAGTTTATAGTGTAGTGTATAATAGTGTCGTGTATAGTGAAGTGTGAACTTTTTTCCCAATGTGCGTAGCCAACCGTGCTAATCGGAGGTGCGAGGGAAGAGCAACAAATTAAACACATCAACAAGCATGATAATAGGTTTTTCCCCTTTTTTTCTGGCAAAAAAATTGGTGTTAAGATACTCTTTGGTTCTTTCGGTAAAGTCACGTAGGTAGAAAAATACTAGATCACGACGTTTCGATCGCAACACAAGCAATCGTCATCAGGTGGGACAACCACAGCATGAAAAAACTGCTGAAGTAGGCGAGAGAGCTGCCGTGGCACGAGGTTATATAGGCCTCCGCAGTAGGGGGGGGAGAGAGGGGGCGGGGCAGAAAGTGGACCCCGCGGCAGCACTTGGAGAGATCTGAGAGATCGAAACGTCGTGATCTATTATTTTTCTACCTACGTGACTTTACCGAAAGAACCAAAGAGTATGGATTTCTGCAGTCACCAAAGCTTCAAATCAAGGTGTTAAGATGTTAAAACACCAAACTGAAACCTTTTACAAGAAATCATGTCAGCATTAACCAAAATTCTTGTGGTCAGAGTGCAAACAAAAAACATACTCTGATAATACATGCATTGTCCTTGAAACTGATTGGTCTAACCCAGAGACAGCTTTTTTTTAGCCTTCTCTCAAACGGTGTCGCTACCTCGGAACAATTCTCATTCTTTTTCACTCGTTGCTTGCGTTTTCAGTGTCTGTGTTCACAGGACCTGCCCACTTTGCCGCTCTGAACGTGAGGACGGAGACCGAGGTTCAAATCACAGAGGGATCCGTGGCCCTGCTCTTCTGCTCCTTTGACTGCAGCCCCAACAGTGACAAGGCCACGACTGTAGAGTGGTCTCGAGTATCTGACGGCTCAAAGGTGATGGGATTTTCTTCCTGAAATGTAAATTTAAACTATTTGAAAATATATATTGGTAAGGCCAACTGAGTTTGCAGAAGTGACCTGGCCACAAATGAAAGCTCAACGACATGGCTTATCATCATGTATACATTTAAAGCAGGCAAATACTCTAGATATGGGGGAGAGAGAGCACACAAACTCCAAGATCAAACCAACGGCCTCCTGCATACCAGGCGAAGGAGTTAATATTTCCTATCCACCATAGCACCCCCATTAATCATACTGCCATTGCTCAGAGTGGTTTGAAGCCTTTATCCAGCAGGGGATAGAAAGCTGTAACCCTGTTTTACATGCTTCCTGAGCACAGGCCCCAAAGGCCCGAATGCCATGAGCTAGCTAATGTAAGTGCATTGTTGATGGTGTAAATTGGAGCAGTATTATTTTAAGGATTATGGGACAGATATACAATAGGAGAGAAATCCAAAGTAGACCAGTGTGAGGAAAGAACAGAAAAGGGAGGGGATTTGTGCTTACATACATTTAATTTATTTCGCACCATATGTAGCCAACCACGCTAAACACAAAAAGCAGTTCTAAAGAAATGAATTGTCAATCTAGAAGATTTAAAAGTGCATATGTGGGGGCTGAGGCTCCCCTCCTCCTCTCCCCCTTCCTCCTCTCCTCCTTCCCGCCGGGCTGCCGCCGATTGGGTGATCGGACTCCCCGCACCAGCGTCCTCTCTGTGGGGCATGACTCGTGGCTGGCTCTCCACCGCCTCGCATTATCCTGACTCCATCCCCCGCGTAAACCACCACTCACGGTGTGGTGGCTGCATGCACGCACACAACCATACCTGCTGCTCACCACGTGCACACGCAGCCACCCGTACCTGCTGCGGTGGCTGCGTGCACGCGCATGCCTGCTCAGGTTGCTTGCCCCGACTTGCGCTCCCACGAAATCTTCTTCCCTCCGCCTTGGCGTCAAGAGCGTAGGTACACGTATGAGTGCAAGTCCCGGGCACACGATGATCGAATCAATGGCAATATTCGCGCATTGCACCGCTGAGCGTTAACGTCGTTACGCTGACACACTGCGTAAAACGCGTGTCGCTATGCGGACACACTGTGTAAAATGCGCTGAGTAAACCCACACGCGAGCGCAAGCACCGGGCACAACGACGATCGGATTGATGATAATATTCGCGTGTTAATCAGCCGTACCAAACACGCACGGCGAGCGCAAGCACGCGGGCGCAGTTACTAAATTACTACCCGCGCTGCCTCACGCACACACACATAAATCACATGGCATCATTGCTCTGTGCTAAACTTTATTACTGGCTCGCCTGAAGAAAAACCCTGCATGACCCGGAGCAAAATATTCAGTGAGCAGCTTCCCACCTATCTCTATCCAACCCCTCGGGGAACCCTCGCGCTATTCCTCACCCCTCGGACATTCTCACGGTATCCCACGGATGCGATGGGAGTGGGAGGGACGAGGGTCCGAGAGGTCTCTGCCTGGGTGGAGTTGTAGCTGCACTCGCCAGCATCTCTTGGACGCTCGAGCGGCTGGGAGTCCGACTGGGTAGCTGGCTGACTGGAGGAGAACTGCCTAACATATCTCCTTTTCCCTCCTTTTATCTCTTCTCAATTCAAAAATCCCTGGCCAAGTTGTGTTGCCCTCCCAGCCAATCCGGCCCAACCTTCCCACCTGCGCAGGGCTGGGCAGCGAGCGATACCCTGCTGGCCAATCGGGCGCCTACCTGGCGTGTGGCTTTCACTTGCTTCACAATTCGTTGTTTACGTGCCCGTCGTTTTCCTCCCACTTGCTTCCTAACCCATTGTCTTTGTGTCCGTCCTCCCTCCCGTACTTTTGGTTGAGATTTTTAGCTTTAGCCAGCTCACTAGGTGTTTTGCTCTCCGCACGGCCCTATTCCCCTGTGTTCAGTGCATTTTAATTGCGGTTGCTCGGTGAGCTCGCCGTGGCCATACAATTTTAAGTTAATCCACAAGGCCGCAGTGCAATTTGGCCTGGGGGGGGGTCTGCCAATTTCCTGGCACTGGGAAACCGTGGGACATCCCCACGAGGGGGCCCTCGGGTAAAAACCCAGGGTGCCAGGTGACCCCCCCACGAGACCCTACATGGGTGTATGTGTGTGTTTAGAGGTGGTGTGCGTGTGTTCGTGTGGGGGGTTGCGAGGGGATAGCAGTGCTGGCAGAGTTGCTCTGTTGCTGCGGCACCACATAGCCCCGGGTTGACTGGAGCACCTCGCCTGGGCCGCCCCCACGAGGTAGCGCCACGGGTCTGTGGGACTCGACCGGCCCTCGTTGCCGGTCTCATGGGTGGTGGCTCCGTTTTCTGGGGCTCCCGTGGTGGTCTCCTTCTCCACTCCAAAGGCTCCTCCCATCCCTCGTCATCTGCGGGCTGGGGAGCAAACTCAGGGGCAGAGGGGGTTAGGGGCCACCGCCCCCACTGCCTCCGGGCCGGGCCAGGGCCTCCCGGGGGCTGGGGTTCCACGGGGCCCATATACGGTGCAAAGCCCCCAGGTATGGGGGGCATGGGGATCCCGGGATTTCGGGGTACCGACCGGCAGGGGTCTCTCTCGCCGGGGCTGCCCTCCATGGTTTTAATCGGAGGACGTTGACCACAGTCTCTCGGCCCCTCTACCCGCCCTGGATCAGCATCGTCCAGGGTGAGATCTGCCACACCACGGTCCAGGGCCCACGCCAGTAGGTGGTCAGCTTCCCCACCTGTCCAGCCCCTACACGCGAGGTGTGCAGCCACACCTTAGAGCCCGCCGAGTAGAAGGGGGGCTCCATACGGGGTCGGGCGCCCTACTCTTGCCGCTGATGTGCGGCCTCCCCCTGTTGGTAGGCCCAGCCACGGCCCCCTCGTAGGGTCCTCATCAGTTGCTCCACGGGCTGGCTCCCTTCCTCCGATTGTGGTGGGGGAACGCCGAACAGCAGATCTGCGGGTAGGCGAGACTCACGACCAAACATCATTAGGAACGGGGTCTGTCCCGTAGATGTGTGTACTGTGGTGGCGTAGGCGAACAGGGCATAGGGGAGGTGTTCGTCCCAATCCTGTTGATTGGTGGCCACCATACATTTGAGCTTCCCGGCTAAGATCTGGTTCATACGCTACACCATACCATTCACCTGGGGGTGGTATGCCGTAGTTCAGGTCCTTCTGGATTCTTGAACTCCCGGCACAGTGCCTGAAATAGCTCTGCCTCAAACTCACTACCCTGGTCAGTAATGACTCTTTCGGGGATCCCATGTTTAAGCACGTAATGCTCCACAAATGCCAGGGCGACCACAAGGGCTGTTTTGTTGGGGATGGCCGCCGCCACTGGATAGAGCGTGAAATTTTCCCCGGTACGAGGATATACCAGTTGCCTTGGTGGGATCGTGGGAATGGCCCCTGTAGGTCAATCCCGACTAGCTGGTTCACCCGGCTGACGCGGAACGGCCTACACTGCTGGCAAACGCGGCAGCCCTGTACCCAGGTGGCCACGTCTTGCGCCAATTTGAGACAAAGATACTGGCGACGCAGGCTTTTCCTGGGCGGTAACACAGATGCACCCCAGCTGCCCGGCTTTGGTTAGTTCCCACACCACCCCATTCTTCACACACAACCGGGCATACAAACCACTCCAGGGTCCCTGTAGGGCGACCCTTTCTTCCCGCAGGGCCGCCTCACCCGCCGCCAGGTCCGGGTCCCGCTGCTGGGTCTGTTTCAGCTGCTCGTCATCCAGACCCGGGAATGCACAGCCGACGTCCTTTTGGATCCGACCGGGCGGGGCTGAGCGGTCTGTCAGAAAGACAGCGTTCTTCACCTGAGGACGGTTGCTTGCGTTGTGGCCGAAACGTCGTGAGAATTATTTTATTATGTTTTATTTTTATTATTTTATTATTTCCATTCTACGTGACTTTACCAAAAGAACCAAGAAGATGAATCCCTGCAGTCACGAAAGCTTTAAATCGAAAATTAGATACTGTTTCCATTGCAAGCCCCGCATCACCAACTCCATCAACCACTGGAATGTCGCCGGCGCATTAGTGAGTCCGAACGGGAGTACTTGGAACTCGAACAGTCCCATTGGGTGGTAAATGCGGTCTTTGGCCGATCCTCCTCCGCCATCTCCACCTGTCAGTACCCGGACGCTAGATCGAGGGTGGAAAAATACCGCGCCCTCGTGTCATCGATGCGGGGGATGGGGAAGGCGTCGCCGAGGGTAACTGTGTTCAACTTTCGATAATCAAGGCAAAACCGGGCCGAACCAACCTTTTTCGTCACCCGTATAACCGGGGCAGACCAGGGACTCGCTGAGGGCTGGATTATGTTATCGCGGAGCATATCCACGACTGCCTCTTTAATCTGGGCCCGTTCAGGTGCACCCACTCGGTATGCGGGGTGTTTAATGGGTCGGGCAGCACCTGTGTCAATTTGGTGCTTAACGAGGTTTGTCCAGCCCACATCAGAATCGTGCTCACTGAACAAGTCAGCGTACTCCCGCAATAACCCACACAGCTGATCGGCCTCCCCCTTGGGTAAATCTGCCCAGGGTACATGTAGTGCATCAAGCAGGGGGAAGACCTCGGCTCTGGGAGTCGGGCCGACTCGCCAGGCCAGGTCCTGGTTGTCCTCGGAGCGGCAGGGGTCCTCAGCCCACAGGGCAAACACTGAGTTGTTAGAGTGGCGTGTGTGTAGGGGGTGTACTGTGGCCACCGTGGTGCGCCGTTGCAGCATTGCCGAGGTACTGTGGGGGATAAATACCCGCGTAAACAGTCGGCTCCCATCCGCGTTAACTAGCGTGGCGGGACCCCACAACCCCGTACCGTGCCACCAACTCCGGGTGAGGAGTCAGCATTACCTCAATTCCAGACACCCATCCATCAGATTCACCATGGAAGTGGAGAAAGATGGTAAACTACCATTCTTGGATATTCTGTTTGAGAAGAGACCTGACGGATCCTTGGGACATTCTGTCTACAGAAAAGCCACCCACACAGATT